AAATATCAACCAAGTAGAGGCCTGGTGCATGCATTCGTGCACAGGTGGGGTCCCTCCGGGTGGCCTGAAGAGATTGGGCTGAAATCCGCAGTCCAACGCCACCTGCAGCTCCTACCTGCCACTCCTGCTCATCCCAGCCCCACTGTGCCTGCTGTGGTCTCCTGCCCAATCAGTCCCAATCAGAAGAGGCTCGTGCTGCCACAACAGCACTTGCCAGCCATGAGCCCTGCATCTGTCGCCCTCCCAAGGGGAGTGGTCTGCGGGATCAGTCTGAAACCAGCTCTCTGACATCCTGGAGGGGTCCTGGATTGGGAGAGGGCTCAGGCCAGGCTGAGGATCTCTACCAGTGCACAATCGGGGTGGGGAGGGACTGCGGGAGAGCTGTCCCTCCCTCAGTCCTGATCAGCTGGACCCCAGCAGAAAGCTAACCTTCCAGTTGGAGCATCTGCCCCCTGGTGGTCAGTGCATGTCATAGCAAGTGGTTGAGCAACCTTAGCATATCATTAACATATTACACTTTGGTTGTTCTGCCATTCAGTCTATTTGCATATTACCCTTTTATTATATAGGATATTTCTTTATTTTATTCAGCACATTAAGGCAAATTCAGTGCTCTTGCTAAACCACTTTTCCAAAAAGTGGCATGGTTATAATAGACCTGTGTTACTTAGTGCAGATTAATCTGATATTCAATCTTAGAATGGCCAAATTGCCTTAAGACATAGAAGAGTGGCTTCATCCATCAACTCTTAAGAGTTAATTTGCTGGTGTCCATAAGTCCAAATATGTTTAAAAATGTATATTTAAAATATTTTAATATGACATGAAATGATAGCACTAAAATAATAGTGTAACACATGTGATAGGTACATAAATGTCACTCTGTCTTTTATATTATAAAACATAGACTTATTGTATTTTAGCAAATGAATTATATATTTTTAAAGCAAGGTTCAAATTTAAGAATTTCAACTTAAAGAAATGATGACATTTTTAAATTTTTTAAAAAAAAACACCTCAAGATTCCTGTTTATCAGAAACTATAATATTCAAAATATTTGTTTAGCATGTAACTAAAACTCTTTTCACTAAATTATTTTTACAGAACTACAATCTATCTTCAAATTATTTCTAATTACTGAAAATATCACTTGCTCCAAAAATTGCATCAGAGCCTTTGAATGACGGGCAACAACCTTATAATATTAAAATAACTAACAAAAAAGCACATCATGGCATGATGAACAAATCTTAGATTTTAGAATGGCATAATTTTGATTGTGAGTTTGCTTGGAGCCCCACAAGTAAGATTGAACCCCATGGCTCTGTATTACAACCAGATATACTCAATCATGTTATGTGCTTAGTTCAGATTCTTTTCATTTCAAAGAAATCCACCCAAGTTAGCTCAGAGTAAGAAGACTTATTGTAGATTTACATGTAGGAAAGGTCTAGAACTAGAATGAAAAGCATCATGAAAAGAGGCAACTCCAAAAGATTATCTTTCCTCCTCTCTCATAGGCTAAATTATCTCTTCCTTTTTTTTTTTTAGTTTCTGGAGGTTTTTTTGCATATCTTTCCTACTCATCTCTCAACTGACTTACTGCCAATTGACCTACTCTGATTACTCATGCTTTATGGCAGTTCAAATATTTAACTTGAAGATGTGTTTATTCAATTTGAAAAGCAAATATTTACTGGGATGGACTATGTTGTAGGTATAGGTGACTTCACTTTGCCACAGCTCCAACTCTGTCTCATTTTCTGTCAGTCTCTCCCCTTTTATTTTGGCTCTTACACAAGCCTATTATATGCCTCTCAATACTTCCAAATTTAAGTTCTCTAAAAAGAAAATCAGTCTCTATTACTTAAGTTGTAAAATGTGGCACAAGGGTCATTTTAACTTGTCAGACCTGTTTTGTTTTAAGCTCATACATTGTGTAAGGATTTTAAAAAATTAACTCCTGCCTGCCTGGTGTTGCTCAGTGGCTGGGTGTCGACCCATGAGCCAAGAGATCACTGGTTTGAGTCCCAGTCAGGGCATATTCATAAATTGCAAGCTCAATCCCTAGTAGTGGGTATGCAGGAGGCAGCTAATCAATAATGTTTCTATCCTATTAATGTTTCTATACCTCTCCCTTCCTCTCTAAAATCAATTTAAAAAATTTTTTTAAAAAAATTAATCAACTCCCAAAACTTAAAAATTAGGAAACTTATACCCTCCCCACAAAAAAATAAAAATCCTAATTTCTGTGACCTCTTGGAAAAAATAGAGATTCTGGCAACACTAGGAGTTGGTTTTTTTTTCCCTTTCACAGAAAAAATGACTTGGAGCTGATTAACTATATAGCCCCCCTAGACCAGTGATGGCGAACCTATGACACGCGAGTCAGAGGTGACACGCGAACTCATTTTTTTGGTTGATTTTTCCTTGTTAAGTGGCATTTAAATATACAAAATAAATATCAGAAATATAAGTCTTTGTTTTACTATGGTTGCAAATATCAAAAAATTTCTATATGTGACACGGCACCAGAGTTAAGTTAGGGTTTTTCAAAATGTTGACATGCCGAGCTCCAAAGGTTCACCATCACTGCCCTACACAGAGCCTGTGCTGTCCAGGTTACCACCACTCCCAACTGTGTTCCACACTAAGCTGCGGGTCTTTGGTCTTTTGTCTTTTGGCACTGGCTTATTTTAAAGGAGGGCCTCTAAGCCGCAGAAAGCGAATGACCTGTTACATCGGCTTCCTTCAGCCTCTCACAGCACCTGAGTGACCCCTGGACGCTTTCCAGGGCACCTCCTGGTCTGTCTCAGCACATAAGTCCATCATAGCATAGGGGCCAGCCCCGACTGGGCTTCCCTGGCATGAAGCACTATTCCCTGACCCTGCAAGTGAGGGCAACATTAGGACAGAAAATGACTTAAGATTCTTTCAACTTTATGATGGTGTGAAAGTGATCAGCATTCAGTAGAACCTATATATCGAATTTTGAATTTTGATCTTTGGTAGGGCTAGTGATATGCTATATGACACTTTCTCACTCTCTCATGATGATTTTTCCAACTGTAGGTTAATAATGTAAATGTCCTGACCACATAAAAGGTAGGTTAGGTTAAGCTATGATGTTTGGTAGGTTAGGTGTATTAAACTTATGATATTTTCAAGTTATCATGAGTTTGTCAAGACATAACCGCATTGCAAGTTGAGGAGTATCTGTATAGCTGCTTAATTAACAAAAGATACAGGTGATGCAATTTCTCTTACAAGAGGGTGAGGAGAGGCAGGCCAATATATGAATCTATTTGATCTAGTGTAATGAAAACAAGCTTTAATGTATTTAAATAAAAAACAATTCCATCAGGAAAGTCAACAACTTTTATCAGTAACGTGTTTAGGGTAATACCTCTGAAGCCTGAAGGGTGCATCTGTCCATCAGGACACTCGGAATATCACATGGAATGGAGAGCTTGGTGGTACTGAACCCCTGAGTTCTCACCATATTTTGAGAGCTGCCAAAACAGAACTCCCCAAAAATGTCTCTCCATGGAATGATTTTACAGCCTCTGCTTCTAATCCTTTAAAGCAGGGTCGGCACATTGCAACCCCTGGGCCAAACCTTGCCTCGCTGCCGCCTGTCTTCGTGAAGGAAGTCTGGCTGCAGCACAGCCATGCCTGTTTGTTACTGTGGTCTCTGGCTGCTTTCACACCACAAAGCCGGAGCTCAGGACCTGTGAAGAGACTCTGGCCCACAGAACCTGAAATATTTACTCTCTGACACGGCACAGAAAAAGTTTGCTGATCCCTGTTCTGAAGACATGGCTAGACACCCTGAATATATTACAAAGTAGCCCTTCAAATGCGGGTTATCCTTCTACCAATCTAAATTCTGTTTCAGGGTAATTTAATTCCCTCATTTGACCTTGGCTGAAATGGACTACAACACGATTTCATCAGTAACGTATATTCACACTGAAACCTGTTAGCAAACAATCGACTGTGTCTTTCTTTTCCTTTTTCTTTTTTTAATCTTTATTGTTGAAAGTTTTACATTGACTCCCTCTAGCCCACACCGGCCTCCTGCCCCAGGCCTTCACCCCTCTATTGTCTGTGTCCATGCATATATGCATACAACATGCATACAAGTCCTTTTGTGTCCATGGATTATGCATGTCTGCATATTGATCTCTTCCCACCCACCCACCCACCCACCCACACCCACCTTCCCTCTGAGGTTCATTATGCTAATCATATCCCCAGGATAAGTATTTGAATCAAAGTAAAGATCTTTCACAAATACTTGCCTAGCTCTTCGAACAATTTAAATCCCACAAAAACTTCAGTATAACCCTGCTGAAGCAGAAGCACCACCGCCTCAAGTGTTTGAGGCCCATTTGGAAGAAAGAGAACGTGCAATGGAAGAATGGAAAGAGCTAATTTGCAAAGAAGTAATGGATTGGGAAGGAAGAAGAACGGTGTCCTGAAAGACCAGCCCTCAGCACAGGTGAGCAGTAAGTAGCAATGCCACTTCTCAGTCGTCATCTATCCGTGACATTTCATCCATGCCCGCCACACAGAAGCTGGCCTCAGACAGACAGCAGCCCTGATACCCCCACGGGAGGTTTGAAGGTTGTCAATGATGTTAGAAATAGTAAGCTTAACATCCGTGAGGAACTCTTGTCTCCATGGGCCTGCAATGCCTGGGAGTTGATGGAACCAAATAGAAAAAGTCCATGGTTTGTGTGTAAGAAACACGATGCCCTGCCCCATTGTCCGAGTAGAGTATATGGGGCGCTATCCAAGGCCTCCCTTGAGATAAACTTAACCGTGCAGGTGTTCGGACACTAAGTAGTTGCTAGCGAAGAGACTACTCTAAGCAAGCAGGACAGGGGGAAGGCATTATCATCTGACCTGATATTAATGTAGTTAAGACTGCCGGGGGAATTACGCCACACAAGAATATGCAGTTGCAAATCACACAGCACACTTTATTACTCACAAGGCTCCTGGTGCCGTGGGCTCAGGCTCAATGGGGACCCCGGGAAGAGTGGCATCCTCTGTGGGAAGCGGCAAAGCCGCCTTTGGGTGGCTGGCCATCTGGTTGGGTCGAGTCAGCAGGAGGAGGGCGACCAAAGTCTCAGGATAGGAGGTTCTCTGCCGTCTGGTGTGGAGCAAGGAAGGCAGCGTGGAGCATGGATCAAGAGAGGATGATCGATGTCTGAAGTCAGGGACCCACGGCAGTCCAGGTGGCTATCAGTAACATACGTTATCACACAAGTGTTAATCAGAGTACAAGCTGGTTATAATTACAGTGTCACTCAGAAGGTGTCTATCAGGTTTACATTGTCATTTCTAAGGGTAGCATTCAGCTATGGTCTTATCTATATGGTGCAGCTAGGGCTTGGCCAGAGTGGTTATTCCCTGTGCTTTCTAATATGTTACACAAGTATTGCACACAAAAAAATAATTTTCTACATTTCCTATAACACTCTTTGTTTTCTATTGCTATAACATTGTAACACTCTTTACTTATTTCCTATCATTATCACTATTACTATGACACCCAACTCAGTCCTAATAGCATTGTCTGCCTAGATTATAAAGTGAAGCAGGTTACGACTGAGGAAAAAAATGCAAGCCACTCTTTTAGAGATTTTGGTCAAGGTCATTTCAGGTGAGCAATTAGAACAGATGAATATTTTTTAGGCTATACTGTAATAGTAGTGACAATTTCTCATCCTCAGTAACTGTTGAGACTTATATGCATGTGACCACAAATGCTTGCGTGGACTGCCATCTAGCACTTTGGAAATCAATATTGAAATGCCAAATAGTCTTCCAGGTAATGCTGCTTAAGAATTATCTCTTAATCCTCTTAAGTACTTTGGTGTTTATCCAGGAAAAATAAATTTATGTGTATTAATTGGCTACCATCATATTATCATCTCAACTTCTTTCATGGTATGATTTATTCTATCATTTGTATTTCAGAAATAATATAATTAAATAGACTTAATAAATAAAAAATAGAACTTAAAAAAACTCCATTTATTTTTAAACTTGTTTTGATCATGGCAAAATTCATTTATCAAGACTCATACTGAAAAAGTGAGGTTTTTTTATACCTTCATGGATCACATCACTGATAACATTTGTAATTCACTATAAATAGTATTTCTTTTAGAAGTAATTGCTATTTTTAGTAATGCCTGTTGTGATATTTCCAATCTTTACTAGTCTCCATGCCTTCCTTATTTTCCTAGTGAATATGTATTATGATCCAGACATTCGCCTAGGTAGTAGATTGTGTTAGCACCGATGGAACAGGAGGGTCAACGTATGCTAGCATAGGCTTTTAACATACACACTCTGTTAGAAACATCCTCAATAATTATTCCCCCCAAATACATAATACCCTTCATTCAATAACTTCAGAAAAATAATACTTACAATGAAAATGGAAATAAAATGTTTTTCTTTATTTCAGCAATAACCAGCTAGGGAGTATACTAGAAAGTTACCCCCTGCATACAAACAGCAGAGTATAAGATATCTCATAGTTATCTAGAAATGAATAATGTGAACATAGAAATATAACTTAAAAATTCTTTAAAAATACTTAAAGCAATAAATGTAGATGTGATGATTAATTGTATGTTAACTGGGTCATGGGAAGACAGTTGGTAAAACATTCTGGGTGTTTGGGGGAGGGTATTTTAGAATAAGATTAACATTAAAAAATCTTTATCGCTGAAAGTATTACATATGTTCCCTTTTTCCCCCATTGACCCCCTCCAGCCCATCCCTGCCCCTTGCCCTTTGCCCAGAATAAGATTAACATTTAAATAGACTGAATAAAGCAGATGGCATTCCCTCATGTAGGTGGGCCTCATCTAATCAGTTGAAGGGATAAACAGAACAAAAAGGCTGATGCTCCCCTGAGTATGAGAGAATTCTTCTGCACCCATTGACCTGACGTGAAACACTGACTCTTCCTGGGTCTGGAGCCTGCCAGCCTTCAGCTCTCCTGGGTGTTCAAGTTGCCAATTCACTCTGCAGAGCTTGGGACTTCCTAATTGTGCATAATCACATAGAATTACACATTTATTGCTTCTGCTTCTCTAGAGAACCCTGAGTAATACAGAGGAGAACTGATATGTTCCAGTTATTAGTCAACAGTCCTGTCAGGAAAAAAGGCAACCCAATTACACCAGAGAGGTATAAAGCTCGTAGGTGACTGAACAGGTAGAAACAAACAACAATAAAAACACCCACACAAACTTCATAGAGCCACAGAGACAGCCAACTTCAGTAGCAGTTACTACCCCTAGGACTGAGGAAACAAAGGGAAGAAATTGACTGGTTAATACTTCGAAGTTTTAGGAGAAGGTCTCACAAAGCCGAACCTCAGACCTTTGAGGGTGTGGGGCACTGGTAGTTGGTGCTGGGGTCTCTGAGGGGGCAGGCGAGGCTGAATCTACGAGGGTTGGGAAATCTAAAACATGGATACAATTGCTGCTATAATGAATTGCTCCTTCTAGGAGAAGAAACGTTGCTGGGGGGATGGCCTACCTGGAGCCACAGGAAGCAGAAAGAAGAAGCAAGTTCCTTGCCTCTTCGATCTTTGTAGCCTTCCTCTAACACCCCCTAGTGGCAGAGCCTGACACCGCCGCTAGCAAAGAAATGTGGCTGGCAGAGCTCTATTTCCCAAAGGTGGGTGTACAAGAGTGGGGTTGGGACTGAGAGACAATAGCATAGTAAATATACAGCAGATACCCATTTTTCTCAAGTACGTTTCTAGACATAAATGGGTGGTTGGTAGAATGACGGTAATTTAAAATATTTTAAAGGTCAAGTGTAATTTTTAAAAAGACAGGCAAAGGCATTCAACAAATATAAATGGTTTTATCATCATGAACTTGAAAAACAACAATACTCTGAATCATAACAGGTTTGTAGTGTAAATTAATTAACTAAAAGAAATTGTTGAGAAATACTGTTATATCTTCAAAATTGTAATGATTGATCAGTACATGATATTAGGAATAAATTTGAGATATCCTTATCTTATACATCACACTTAAAACCAAACTCATTTTCAGTTTAACTAAAATTTCAAGTATATATGATAACACTAAGAAAATAATGATGACTATTTACTTGATGTCAGGGTATAGAAAGAATGTATTAGCATACAAAGAAAGGAAAACATGAAAGGAAGAGTTGCACTGACTACATATAATGTATGACTTCTAGAAACAAAGTCATTACATGCAAAAATGAAAGGGATAATGATCCTAGAGACAATTTTGAAAATGTGTACAAAAGAGACACAGTTCTTGTCATCCCCCCAAATTTGTAAATACATAATAACTCAAGCAATTCTCCCTAGAAGAATGAGCAAGATATCTGAATAACAAGAAAGAAGAAATAAACATGGAAAATTTATTAAAAGTTAATCCTCCTATGCATATAAAATTAAAAAATTATGTATTTTGTATGAAATTAGCCTGCAAGATATCTGAATAACAAGAAAGAAGAAATAGACGTGGCAAATTTATTAAAAGTTAATCCTCCTTAGTAAGTAGAGATATGCATGTAAAATTTAAAAATTATGTATTTTGTATGAAATTAGTGAAGGCAATACCTAATATTGGCAATAATAAGTGTTTTCACATTTTGCATGTAGTAATAAATTGGTACAACCTGCTTAGAATACAAGATAGCAATAGTGCCATACAATCTTAAATAGCTTTCCAATTTCTAGGAATCTAACATAAGGAAATGAAGATAAGTATAATGAAAGGCTTGGTAATGGTTCATGCAATGCAATTTTCTATTAAATAATAGAAAACTATAAGTAAAGTAAATGTCAAGCCATAAGAAAATTAGAGTATAGCATGTAATGAAATATTATGTAGAGATTGAAAAATGTGTTCTGTAAATAAATAGTTTGAAACTCAGAAAACTTTCAAGACATGCAAGGTTAAAAATTAAACCAAAATACAAAATAATGATTTTGTATTCTTGATACTATACAAAAAATTAAAAACCGTAGTCTCAGAATGATGAAATGATAGGTGATTGTTTTACTTCTTAAAATATTTTGAAAACCATTCATAAATCAGACTGCTAAAGCATGGGTAGTTGTTTTTGTAATCTAAGACTGTTTAAGGGAAATTTACTCAGAACTTGAGCACCATGTTCAGAGCCAGTAGATTTCCTCATTAGTCCCCCAAAAGAAAACTTAGAGAGACTTGCGAGGATTTCTGCAATAACAATATAAAAAGATCCAGTCTTCTCTAAATGTCAACTGTTTGTTCTTTAAAATTCAATAGAGTATAAGCATGTTTTCTAGCAAGAAGCATTTGCCAAATATCAGCTATGAAATTCTATTTTCTAGGTTAAGTAATAAGTTAGATGCCATTCATATTTTTTTGTTCTAAACTTAATCTATTCTCTTCTTGCCTGAGCTCCACATTCCCACATTTAACTGACAACCTAGATCTAACCTTAGAAGTTAGAGTTCACCAGTGAACATGTGCATAAAAAATAAATTTTTATTCCCTCTGATCTGTTCTAGCTCCTCAGCACCTTCCATCAGCAGCTTCCTCCTCCTCTTCATTTTCTCAAGAACACATTTAATTATTCATGCCAAAATTTGACGTTTTTCTCTAACTCCAGTACTATACTTAATCCATCCAGTCCTAACCTGATGAAATGCCTCTACCTGGGCCTAAATAGAAGACTACTGAAATAGCCTTCTATCTTATTTCCTTTCTTACACTATTGCTCATCCTCCCAATTGCCCATTTGTCACAAAATAGCCACAGTGGCTATTAAAAATATGAATTAGATGATCATTCTCTGGCTTAAGAATCTCCAAATGTTTCTTTCTTAATGGGGAATGAAGTACAAAGAATTTATATGACAGTTGATTCTAAGGAACACCAATAGGAGACTGGGGACATCAGATATAAAAAGGGGAAAAGCCATAAATGGTGCATTACCAAGAACGTTGCC